CAGCAGGAGAAGGCTAGAGCAATATGCTCTTTATCAGTATTCTTGTACTCAAGTTTATAGCTACCCATAAGGTCAGATAAAATCCTGATGATGATGGGCAGCTAGTCAAGGCCTGCGTTGCTTTTCTATTAGTGGATATTGGAATTGGAGGACAACCACATTTTACCATCTGCATGTCTATGTTGTCCTGCACCATGATGCTTATCAGAGCCATTTTAAAAGTACCCACTTCACTACAGCTGCCCAATTTAATCCTGCAGTGCCCCCAGGGCTCCCTGCTCTCCCCACATTTGTGCAATTTAAGCACTGCAATGACAGTGCTTGATTAAAGGCATTCAGTGGGTGTCCATGACCTGCTTCTCCCCTACTGTATCCACCCTTCTTGACTACCCGAGCCACACTGAAAGTGGGCCTTCTGGGCCTAGCTAAACATAACATGTATCTGTATTCCTGATGGAGCCATTAACTGATCTCCCATCAGTTCCACCCAACTGGAAGTTAAATGTGGCTTTTATGAGGCCAAGGGCTAGACATGGGATTTCAAACAGCCCTTTTCTTGGGTGGTATTTATTTAAACCTGATATTTAACCCGTGCCTGTCAACAATCTTCAGTGAGATCTAGAACACTAATGTATCAGCTCCTGGCAATTTATGTACCCTACACCTAAACCAGATGAACATCAGATAATACAGCAGTAAAAAGCTTAATGCAATTGTCTAGACTAGATAAAGCCTTTGTTCAAGGCACCATGAACACTACAGACATCCACATGCCTATTTCCTGAAGTACAGCTATTTTCATTTTACTTTTGATTTTTCTTTGAACTTTACAGTATTTATCCAAAGTCAGGAGCCCACAGGAATCCATGGAAGAGTTTCATTCCACAGCAGCCCGAGAGCTTCACCGGGAATCTCATGGCGCTGTCTCAAGGTGTCTGCTATGTCTAAGAAGCTGATGTACTCCCTGGTTTTGCAACCACAGTCCAACCACCAGCTCGCTGACAGACATGATCAAGCCTTAAAGCCCTTCTTGATTCTGTTACAAACTACATTCATTTTGCTCATACAGGACATCAGTACAGAAACTAGGGCATGTACATTAGGCAAGTCATCCCACCTGCTCTCTACCCCAGCTCTGCCCCCCTAATGCTGGATACCACTAGCTGTCCAGGCCCCAAGACCTGTGAGCCTTCCCAGCAATAAACACACGGTGCAGCACAAGCCACTGCGCAACCCAATCAATACAAACTGCATCAGTGAGGAAAGGTTTTTCTTTAAGTGTCCAAAAGAGTATAGGAGGAAAGCTGGAAAATTGTAAATCTCTATGGTTAGTAAGGTTAAACAGCACATCAGAGGGAATGTTTTTATATATATATTTTTAATCAGCCTGCAGTTTAGAGATGCTATCTTTAATCCATGCTACCATGGAAACCATGCAATCGAGAACTGGTTGCTAAACTTTTGGGTATCAATAGCTTGATACAAGGAGAGGTCTTCAAGGATCTAGTGGATAATTAGGGGTTATTAAAACTAAACAACACAGAAAACATTAGAGAATTTACTAAGTCTGTGGTAAAATGTGGTCTAGAGATTATAGGAGCCCAGAAGAAAGAAAAGGAGAAGGAAGAACAGTACTGAGCCACATAGGTAACAGCTTCTATGCTGCAACTTTTATGAGAGAGCGTGCCCAGAAATTAAAGATAACAAACAAATGTGGGAATGAAGTATAGCGAAAACTGTGACAGCATCCAGGAATGCAGCGTGCTCTTCTCCCAAGAATTTTATACCCCTTTAGAAACTTAGAAAGTTCAGTTTCTACATGTTTTGCTCGGTATTTTTCTATGCTTTCCCTTAGCTAGACTTGACAACTTACAAAAGGGCTATGACAAAACCCCCTTAAATCTATACACACATGCAGTAAGTTAGGCCTCATTCTTCTAACATCTTTGCAACTGCTTACTTGTAATTCCAGAAGCGCAAGTGAAGCATACTCAAATGTTAGGTCTCCTCTGTCAAAGAGGAAGAGTGCCCAAAAGCTAAGATTCAAATTACTTCAGAGATAACTGATAAAAATTTGGAAACAGGGTCAAAAAATGTCCAGAAGGAATGGACCCAGGACAAAATCCAAGTAACAACATTGCTCTAAAAACAAACAAATGAACAAAAAAAAAAAAACAAAAAAAAAACAAACCCTCAAACCAAACAAACAAAACCAGAAAACATTACAAGGAAATTTGAGTAAATAAATAGCTGAAATATCCCAAACCTCACTAAAAGCCTTCTTTTTTTCCAAACAGGCAAATAGCCATTTTAACTACTGCCAGGGGAGTGATGAAAAGGTCTGAGTGGCATGCACACTGAAATGTAAGGCCTTATTTTTCTGTGGTTCTAAAGAGAAAAGGATGTCACTAAGGAGGACTCATTCAAGGGAATTTGCCAGCTAAGTATTAATGACACATGAAAAGCAAAGTATGAAGAATGTCTGTAACTAGAATCAGCCAACATTGCTACTGCTACATATTCCACTGTGCTTTTGTGACAACAGAAGAGCAAACAAACATTGGAAGCTGGCTGAAAAATGGTGTGCAGGCATCACCCACCATCAGACTGCACAGAAGTCTCTCAGCAGAATGGAAGGTTAATTCCAAAGCAGAAAACTGGATGATACAGCAAAAGCTTTCACTTGCATGGGGTCTTTCAGACAAAATAAGTAAATTCTGCAAAGGGATTTACTAGGAATTATTATTTCAACAACATGAAGGATTGAAGGATTTTTTTCTCCCATATTTACCTAATATTATCCAAGGTTAGTCTACAAAAAGCAATAACGTCACTGAAGACAACCACTATATAGAAAGGAGAAATAAAGCAACCACTAGTTAGGTTTTTTTAAAGCACAGAGTACAAGACATACATATACTTGAAAAGTAACATACTGGTGCATAGAAGTGTTGGACTTCCTAGTACAAGTATGCCCTTGAAAACTATTAGTAATCTATTTGGTTTTACTCTGAGTGAGCAAGAAGCAGTTAAAAACATGCACTTGTCTCTACATGTAATAAACAACAAATGAGAACCGGTAATGGTAAAATACAAATTACTTCTGTTACTATGTGTCCATCTACCTCAAAACACATCCACTTGGAAAAGTGTGCCATGTGGCAGCAGAGGACAATACAAACAATGTTCTCTAAAGCAAAACCTCTACTCAGACAAACAAGGGAGAACATGCCACAGGGCAGTAGAAAGTTTCCCAGTGTTACATTTTAAAAGGAAAAATAAATTTTTTCCTGAAAACATTTTATGGCTATAAATTGAAAGATCCTTTTGATAGCTCCTGTTCAAACAGGAATCCAAATATTCATTTTCATAGAAAGTAATTATTAGTTCACAGATGAAAAAAAGCAAGCTTTATAATGTGACCCACAGTCTCACTGTTAGTAATATACTTCATTTACCTTGCAGAAACAGCCCTCAAACACTAGGTTAAGAAGTCAGGAACACAAACAACAGCGAAATTCCAATTATTAAATCTTTTATTTATTCAACTAAACAAATATATAAATGTCTGTGATTGATTTTCTCTTTTTAAATGCAGGTGTACTGATGCCAGAAATACTAAGAAATGTTCACAGGGAGGAGACACAGCAAGTCACCTTGCCCAGAACATGTTCTTCCACATTTACTTCTCTAGAAAGGTACCCTTCTGCATTACAATCTACCACTTTACAAGACATCAGCTATTAGATGTAATGTTTGTTTGCGAAAGGCTTAGAAGGAGGAGAACAGTCAAGTCATACCTGGCCACCTCTGAGACATCTCAGCAATCCAGTAGTTAAAACTAACATATTACACACTGTGATCTTGATCCTACTTAAACTGACAAAGAGTTACTGCTAAAATTAGTAAGCATTTGACCATTTAAGATAAAAATATCGGTATTTTATGGTCTGCAATAATCCATTTTGATAAATTAATCTTGTATTTTTTACATCAGCTTATTGTAACAGTCATAATTGTTCCCAAAGAGTTCTTAAGAACCATTTAGGAAATAAGAAGAATGCTTCTTAGCCCTTTTTTCAAAGGAAAAAAGGCCAAAAATAAGCCTTTTGAATACTAAGAATTGAGTCACACTACTCCACACTGCCCTATGATCTATTCACAGCTGCAAAAGCAATGGAAAACAGTAAATCAGCAATTATTCCTAATTCAACAAAAAATAAATCCTTTTTACAACATGAAATACATTTTCTGTATTTTCAAGTAAGATTGTTTACACAGGATGAACTTTACACTGTACATGGTTTTTGATGCTGACACATTTTCATACAGAGAAAAACATTGCCACAGTCAGTACACTTGAACACCTGTACATTATTTACATTTTCAACTATTTTACACAGCTCCAAGCCCTCAATGCCATTTAGCTATACACATTTCCAACTGGAGTGTAAAACGCTTACAGCTTTTTAACACAGGAAAGTCAACATAAATGCTGCTTTCAGTTCTTTACCAACTCAATGGACTCGGGTGTTAACTTTGTTCCATGCCAGCCATCAGTGACAAAGCTAAAGACTCCACTGTGAACCAAACCATAAAAAAGTAGTTAATATTTGCATTGCAGCAGCCTGAAAATACTTATTGCAATATTCAATTCTGTAGTTTAAAAGGAAGATCCCAGTTTATTTTCTAAATTGTAACACTTCAGGATTTAAGACAGTAAAACATTTTATAAATCTCTGACATTTCCGACAATATTTTACCACTTTGATCATCAGTTATCCATTAGTTATTTCCAGCAGTAAGAACTGGTAAGAAATAAGCTCCTTCATTTGATATACTAACTGCTGAACACATACATACACACACACAAAGAATAAACATTGTGGGGGGTTACACCATGTAAGCCATTATCACAGACGATTCTTGCACACAAGCTCTGGTAGACTGAGTAGCAGTGATGTCAGATAATATTTAGACTCACAGGATTATTTAGGTTGGAAAAGACCTTTAAGATCTTCAAGTCCAACCATTAATCTAGCACTGCCAACTCCACCACTAAACCATGTCTCCGAGCACCATGTCTACATATGGTGTATAAACCTGTTAGAACATGCATCTACATCCCAGCTAACCCCATTCAGCAGTTGCCCCCCAGCCCAAACTGGCATTAAATAGCTATTACAGCTAGTACAGGCTGCAAGCAGAAGCACAGACATATCTTCTGCTGTTTCAGCTACCAAGGAAGTAACTTCCAACAGATGGGCAGAGCCAAATGCTTGGTACAGTTGCAGCTGAGGTACCATAATACTAAAATTTTACCTGTTCAAGACAGATCACAGCTAGCTGTCATCTAACAACAAGAAGAATGCTCTTCCATGCCCAACAGAACTTAGTTTAATTCATTTGATTAGAAAACTACTTGTCATTTGCTTGGCTACATCAGCATCCCCTCATCAAGAGAACTGGTAAACTGAAGATAGCTCTCATTAAAAAGCATGGCACAAATACTCAAAAAAATAATGAATTTAACTTGTTAAGAAGTAAGGCTTCATGTCCTTTGGAACACCTCACACAGGGAGATTCTTTAAGATGTACTGACAAACATTAAACCAGATTAAAATGTAAATACATTCCTAGTAAAGCTTGTGTCCTGCTAAGTGCAGGTATGTAAAAAACCTCATGTACTTACAGTGAGGAAAAGAGCCTCGACAAACAGCTTTGTTGAGAACAGTTACAAGAAACATGTGACAGTTTTTAAAATCAGATTCCATCTTCTCTATGGATTCCATCCTACAAAACAGTTTAACAGAGGAATGCTTAACAGACTAGCCACTGTGTTATCTTCAAACTACCATCAAAGCTCCACAGTAAATGACAAAAGTATTCTTAGCACAGCATTCTGAGCACTATCACAATGGCATTAATTTCCTCATCATCTTAGAACAGCAGTGACAAGGAGGTGCTACCTGACAACTGTTATTTCCACCTAGCTTTCTATTTCAGAACATCAATTCCTGGTCACTGTTGCTTTAGATACCTTGGGGTAAACCTACACTGCCAAATAAAACACAGACACCCACACTGCTTTACTATCAACTCCTGAATTCCACTTTGGACTATGCCAGCTAGCACTCACCAGAGAGGGCAGAAGACATAGTTCACAGTACGTCATTCTTTTTTTTCCCCCCTTTACCAAAAGGATATGGATGACACTACATCAGCTATGACCTTTCCCTGCCACATCCAAGAGTACACAACCACATGTCCCAAGTTTCAATCTATCAACAGCCTTCACAACTTATTTCTGACACTTTGAATCGGAAAAGCACTCCAAAAATAGCAACTTCCTAATGCCACAAGAGAGCATGATCCAAGCTCTAGGTAGTATTTATGCCAAAGAGAATTAGTCCTGAAAAATACGAATATGAGCCAGTCCACACCAGCTGGCCTCAGGGCCATAGATCAACCCCTGAGTGTTAAACATAGCCTTGGAGAGTTGCCCACTATCATTCATTCTTCAAGCAGCAAGTTACAGAAGCTAAAGTATAAACTATAAACTGGGAGAAGAGTGCCTGGAGAGCAACCCTGCAGAAAGGGATCTGGGGGTGCTGGTCAGCAGCAGCCTCCATAGGAGTCAGCAGGGTGCCCTGGCAGCCTGGAGGGCAAAGTACACACTGGAGTGCATCAAACACAGCATCAACAGCTGGTTAAAACTGGTGATTGTCCCACTGTATTCAGCGTTGGTGCAGCCTCACCTTGAGCACTATGTGCAGTTCTGAGCCCAACAACTCAAATGCGTCCAGACAAGGGCAATAAAGCTGGTGAAAGGGCTGGATGGAATGTCTTATGACAAGCAGCTAAGGACTTTGGGCTCATCTAGTTTGGAGGAAAGGAGGCTGAGGGGCAACCTCATTGCTCTCTGCAACTTCCTGAGGAAGGGACATGGAGAGGGAGGCGCTGAGCAGTTTTCCCTGGGATCCAATAATAAGATGTGTGGGAATGGCTCAAAGCTACATCAGGGAGGTTCAGACTTGACATTTCTTTACGAAGAGGGTGGTCAAACACGGAAACAGGCTTCCTAAAGAGATGGCAGATGCACAAGCCAATTAATGAATGTCATCACCTAGCTGTCTACAATTTTAAATTGCCATCAAGGAACATGATCATAAAAACAAACCTGTGAACCTCTCATTTTACCATTATCAACAAATACGAAGGAGAAGGAAAAGGAAACCCTTTGTTGCTACGATCTACAATCTTTTCAAACACAAGTTATGTATTGGCCACCTTTTTAAATGGAAAATACTGAATATACACAAGTGCATAAAACTTGTTAAGTTCTATCTAAAATAGTGCTTTTGCTAAGAAACAGCAATTAGCCTTTGGCAGATGCTGTTAAACACTAAGCAATGTCCTTTTGTGTCACACACACAAAAAATATATTGAAATTCTGAGCTGTGAAATTCTGACCATGCAGAATTTTAGTTATGTATACTTACTTCCAAGCCCCCAGACCAGCCTGCCAACGGTCTGCAAACATCAGTACTAAATTTAACACTTTCATTATAGCTTCTTTCACAAAGCTCACCTAAAATAACAATTAAAACAAAGGCAATAGTAGTCAGAAATTCATCGCTAAGTATAATAATTGTCATTATTAAGTTGCAATGCAAAGGTATCCCATGCCATTTAATCTCATCTGTAAAAACAAATCTCCTAAATGCAATGTGATTTCTCCAAATTTATGTTCTGCATTTGTTCTCTAACTCATCTCATGGCTGACTACTTTGATGAGGATTATGTACAGACAGTATGTGGGATAAATGTTACAATGCTATCCATGTACCTTCATTTCCTGCCACACCAGTATGTATAATCCTCATTACATTACCAAGCCTCAGTTTGTTCAAATCGTCCCATCTCTTAGAAACAAATGAGTCATGTAAAATCCAATACAAAGAATTTAATTTTGTCTTCACTCTTTGACAGAATTGAGCTGAAACTTTCAAGGGACACGGGATGTCTGTGTTAACTCTGGAAAAGCTACAGTTTCCTCAAGAGTAGCTATATATTTCTTAGTATGTATGAACTGCAAAACAAGCAGCATAATTAGTGCTAAACTCTGTTCTTGTCCTGCTAAACTCAATGTATCAAATATGCCAGTTATTTTACCCACCTTTTCTCTCAGTAGGCAGCGATCATGGATTGTAGATAGATACCTGTAATGTATCTTTATCAACTGATCTAAATCTTTGGCTTCTTCTACCTGATGCTGAAACTCCAAGCCTGTACTGTGAAGAATCTTAAAAAGAAGGCCACAGTTATTAAATTCCATGTCGCACACAAGTGCTTATGACTGTCTTTCAGCAGAGCCTAAAACTGCCCGATTCATCCACTCTTCCCTCCCAAATTTTAGGCTCACTCCCCAAATTAACATCAATAGCAACATAATAGCAATAGCAAAATAATTGAGCTCTTCTCATAATTACACAATGATATTCCTCATATGAATAGGAATATTGCCATTGTACAAGGGCAGACAGATTATCCCCAGAGGAGCTGATTTGGAGTGCCTTAAAGGCAAAAAAAGGCAATTGTAGAGCACATACGGATCTACAGGCATTGCCTTTATATTTGAGAAGTCATGTACATACTTTTGGGTTTGTGTACTAGAGATTTTTGAGAAGGATTCATTTAACTAAAATGTCTGTAGTAACACTTTCATAAGCATAATAGCTCTTAAGAGAGTAACAGCTCCTACTTTTACATGACTATGCTTCAGTCATCTAGCACTGCGAGAAACAGTCAGAAAGAACTACTAATATCCAAAGATCAATCACGTGCATACAGACTTCCTAATGTATTTTTAGAAATATTGATTTAAAACTGCCAAGTTAAAACTAAAACATGCTCAGCCTAAAATCATTTTGCAGAAAGGACATTAGACTAAGATTTTGCTTTTTATTTTTTTTTTTTATGTTTTAATAGCAAATTAATACTGCGTCTCCAATTACAAGTTCTTAATATAAATGAAATTGTGATACAAGACAAACCCTAGTCATGATGTAGTTGTGCAGGCTGTTAACAAAATGCATGAGTTTCACTCTTAAGAGGAACATGCGATGTATTTGTTGTTTTATACTTTCTGGCTGTGGTGAAAATAGAGGAAGCGCTCCTTGTTCTAATGAAGTTCCTTCCTTAACCTGCGGATTTTCTGCAGCACAGACTAGTTCTAAAAAGAAAAGGCAAGAGTGTTATACAGAAGTACTTATGAAGACAAATGGTAGCTAAAATGTTACTTGAAACTGAATTATTTGTTATTAGTCTGCACATGACTGATGTAAGATTTTTCTTGCAATTCAGATGTGTTATTATAATACAGCAACGATATGCTGAATAGTTTGACAGCATATGTACAACACAATTTGGTAAATACTGGAACAGGAAATGCTATTTAAGAGCTATTATGTGAAAGGATAAAGAAAATCTACATTAAAATAAATGTGTACACTATCTCTACAAAGGGGAGAAGACACAATAGGCACAAAGCCCTACCCGTAAAGTTTACACAATAGAAAACTATATAACTTTAGGAAGATAATTACTTAACCGATGTACAAAACACAGATGAACCCATTGACTTCCTAATTTATTTTTCTAGGACATGAAGTGTCTATCCATTTTATATGGGACAAGAAGAGTATAAACATTACCCTGGCAAAAGAGAGAGAGATCTCTTTCTACAATCCCCAAGTATGTAAGTTGCAGCATAGAGGCTGTATTCCCAACTGTCTAGCTTACTCTTTCAATCTGAAATACAGTATTTGTTTCATCTTGTTTTCTTGTTGGCAAGGTATTACTCATAAAAATTTGGACTACACATAAAGCAAAACATTAGGGTGTGGTGGACAGACCTTTCAACAGCAAGGTCTGAAGAAAGAAGTAACAAGTTTCCAATGTAACTAACTAGACCTAAATGACAGACAAAGGGAATGCATGAATAGTGTTGTCCCTGAGGCTGAAGTGAAAAACATGCCCTGCTTAGTATGTATAATATTCAATTTTCAAAGCTAATAGAGATTAATATTTTATAAAATGAATCAAAATTCTAACTAGTTTATACTACTCACTGCAGAAGGCAACAGACTATTTATATTCTTAGACCACAGAACAAGTTCTCCGAGTATCTTTCATTGAAGAAGTTTCTTACCATCAAATCGTAGAACATCTAGACTATACTTGGCCCATTTTATTTGCAGCAAGAGCAGAAAAACTTGATTGTAAATTTTTTGGCACTCTAAGCTTATAACTATATCCACAGGCCAAGGAACCTAAGAGGAAGAGAGGATAATCAAGACAAAAGTAAGTCACTTTAATGCAACATTTCCAATCTATTCTAGAATGAGAACTACAGCAGTATCAGCTCATTACCTTGTAACTCAATGTCAAACCATCTAAGGTGTGGACAGGGAGTTTCTTCTTTGCTGTATCAACACTTTCAAATGATATAGACAACCTATGCAAGGAAATGTGATTTAATTGGCGATAATCTGTTTTAAAATACTGGTTAGTTTCACTAGTTTTTAATTTCTTATTCTAAATACCAACTGTCTGATTTAATCTGGGGGACTTGAGTAGAAGAGATGACAATAGCTCAAAACTTCATTAAAACAGGGATTCTTTTCATGAGTACACAGTAATTCATATTTTGCTATGCAACTTAAGTACATTAGTATAGGTAAGTGTGAAAGAAACATAACTAAACTACATTTTGCATTTTACCTTGCACTGTCCTCTGGATAGCGCTGCCCAACTGCTTCTTGAAGTTGAACATTCAAGAAAGCAACATTCTGCCAAGTTTCCTTTTCTCTAATTTTGTCAAAAATAGATGTATAGAAGTCATACATGGTATCTCCAGCTTCAAGTAAGAAAAAGTTTCTCATTGCCTGCAAATATTCCACAAGCCTAAAGAGGAACAAGCATGTACCATTTCCTCAGTCTTAATCATACAAGTGAAATCAAAACACAACTGCTACAGAAACAAAAATCTTAAAAACTCTTCACTACAAGAACTCAGTACTGAACACAAACTTAGAGAAGTCCACAGGAAATCCTTTGCTTAACCCTCAGATAGCTTTCACATGCATTCACATAACACAGAATAACCAAGCCATTTTTTCCTGTAAGCTTGAACAGCCGCACTAACTTCAATGGAAGCGCTCATGGCATTCAGCTGTCTTACAGGCTACGCAATTCTCAGGAACAGCTTAAGAGTTTGGAAATCCTGGCCTTCTCCCTAAACAGAACTCAGAGAAGAGATGCAGTCTCAAGGAGAGTTCTAAGAAACTTCAGTATGGAGCTCCAGAAAATCACGATATGGATTTTTCTTTTCTGATAAAGTAGGAAGAACAGTACTGCTACCACTCTTCTAAGAGCTGTGACTATAAATACATTAAGTATTTTAGACAAATTCCTAAAATTTTTCTTCTTTCTCTCTATCACAAATTTTCAAGTGATAACACTACTAAAAGTACTGTTTGAAACAGTCCTGGCATTGAACATCCACTGAAGCAAATGTTAGCTTTGCTGTTGATTTAAGCCAGACCAAGTTTTCACCCAGGATTCTATCATGTCAGATCCAGCTTTCCTCCTTAATGATTTTATTGTTGGTTATCAAACTGGAGTAGAAACACAACATAAAATTGTTGCTTTTAGTGTATGGCATACCACTAATTTAAAAAAACAACAACAACAACAACAACAACAAAACATTAAGGAAAACCAAATCTACTTTCTTACCTATAATCCTTTTTTAAAGTTTGCATTAGATTACCACAGCACTCCAAGTATTGCTTGTCTATGTGTGGATAAAGGCAAGACCTCAGTGTCAGTTCGAAAGTTTGGCAGGTCACAGATTCTGAGGATCTATCTACACAAACATCTCCACCAGTGAACTTCTCATGAAAGTCACTCTGTTCCAAATATAATCTTCAAAACAAAATAAATTACTTACGGAAGAAGGTTCATAATTCATACAATATATAAGCAAAAAATAATTTACATTATGGGAAGAGAGTATCTGCAGTTGACACTTGACAAGCTTAATTATTTTGTCACAGAAATAATCAAATTATATGTTATAATAATTTGTAAAAAGCTACTTGTTGTCTGAATGCATTGTAAGAGCAAGTCCAGCTCATAGCAGCTCTTGCCTTGATAGACTGGATGAGTCAGACATTAACTTAATCTATCAATTTTGCCAAACGGGATAGTCCCAAAGAACAAGAGAAGTAATAGAGTCTTATCTACTATTAATTATGATTTTTTAAAACAAACTCCTCCTAGGAATGAAGTGAAAACATGTAAATCATCAGCTAGTATTTAGGAAAACATAAACAGCTATTTTCTTATTTGTAATTACAAAAGTTTTTCAGAATTCATCTCTCCTGCTAATTTCCAAAACATTAAGAATCTCTATAGGACTCCCTCACTATGACACATGAAGAATTTTTATGCAATTAATATGAATTTTGGAAGGCTTTTAAAGTTAAATTATTTAAGCACAGCACAACTGAAGCTGCATTTGTCAAATAATATCCTTGGTGCTAATCAAAGACATCATGTACAAACCCCAAGCAAACACATGTAAAAGTTTAGATTTTACAACATTATTAAAACACTTACTTGTTAAAAGCCTGTTACAATAAAGACTACTCCCATTTTCTACCCTAACAGATGTGAGCAGCAGATTCTTCACTGATTTTAATTGGTTTTCTTCAACTAAGCACAAGTGTAGTATTTATTTAGCCTCTGTCACTGACTGTTGGTGCTTCTCTTTATTCTGAGCTTGCCTGTTTGCTGCAGCAGCAGCAATAAAAATTTAGTCTACCAAATGTCACCAGGCAGAACACTGCTCTCAACACCACAGCGGGAAGATCATTCATTTACCTGGCAAAATTAATAGCCAGCAGTGGGTCATGGACATCATCCAGTTCCAAGTGCCTTTCTGCTATAGACTGCATCTTTATCAGGCTCTGCTTTGTGGCCTGCTGTTCTGTAATAATATCTGGAACAGACTCTTCCCCATGCCGCAGGCGAGACTGCACCGATTCCAAGAACAGTGTATACAAACTCTTTCGTTCAGCATCTAAATTGGGCAACATGTTCCACTGTAAGATTTTGTTCTAAGAGAAAACATTATCTGAACTAAAAGAACTACTTTATAGTCCAACATTTACTGGTTAGCTTTTAACATACTAAGTTTAGGCCATTATTCAGAAAAAACTCGAATACATCTTTAAATCAGTATTCTAAAACAGTAGGGCTAGTCCAATGCCAACTGAAATCTGTTCATATCAGGCAGATTTGAACATCTGCCTGAACATCTGAACAGGTCAGGAACATGTTCAAATGAGTTGCTGAATGGGTGTCTGAAATATGAAATATTTCTGAGACTGTTGAAGAACTTCCTCTATCAGCAGTTCATTCTTAGCACCTGAAACAACCCTTCAGCGTTCACTAGAACAATTATGCTCTCACAGCACAGGGGAAATAAACCCAGAGAGTCTCCAAAATAGTTTAACTACGACTGCCTTCGTCAAAAAAAAAAACAAAAACCAAAAACCACAGGATTTTGTTTCCTTAAAAAAAAAACCAAACAAAAAACAAAAACACCCACAACCCAGCACTGGTTACACTGTTATGCTATTTTACAATCAAGATAAACATCCCAAATATCCCAATATCTTTCAGCTAATTATTAGTAAGCTTTTTTAAAAAAAAAGTTCACACCCCATCTCAGAACTATTCAACCATTCAGTAATTAAAAACAACTATTTATTGAAACAAAACAGCTTTAGTATTAGAACACAGAGGCTATTTTCTTTTGTCTCATAAAACCCGCTAAGTTTTGCAACCACATGAAAAGAAGCTTAAGAAAAATGTAAAGCAATAAAAAGCAAAGGGAACACTCAATCTTTATTCACTTTGCTCTTTTCACATGTTTGCACTGGAAGAGTGTTTTCAATCAGATCTGCAGTTACCAATCATGATGCTGATGTTCAACATGGAGCTAAAACTCCTACTAAACTAAAACCATGAAAACACTAATACAAAAAATACACCTGTAGTGTTAGATACCATCAAGCATGATAGTCCACAAACTGACACCTCACCTCTTGATGCGGCCTGCTGTGGAGAGCCATCTTTGCACTGAAGATTCTTCAACAGCTGCATGGATTTTCCAGCCATGATGATTTGCTTTAGCACAGGTTTCAGAAAAGAGACCATAGTGTGTTGCCTGCTTGAAGGGGCCTGATCACTGCCGGAACTGGCACTGGCATTATCACTCATCTTCTCCTCATTCTCTGTCTTCTCTGACACACTATATAACGTGTAGGTAGCATACCAAAAATCTCTGTGATTAACTGGAACATTTTTGTTTCTGTGAAGAAATAAAAAGCTGATGAAGATTTCCCTTTTCAAATGATGAAACTTCATTACTAGAAGATGCTCATCTTCTTCACTCTATGCTTTGCCTTTCTCTTAGAATGCCCATAAAGCACTTTCAAAACAATATAAAGTAAGCTCATACAGATCATAAACTATCTAGACACCTCTAGAAAAGATGATAGCTCTAGCAGGGTAAAGAATGAGCTCACATGAGATTAAAAAAATTGTATAACCAAATAAACCCCCAAAACAAGGTAAAGTAGAGTAATAACAATTAAGTTTGTTGAGGAAGTTAACTATTTGCAGTGGTAAACATCCTTAGTAACAAAATTATTAGTGATTGACTTGCAGATTTATTTAAAACCTACAATGAAGCAAATACAACTGGGAAAGCTGAAAAATTCTAGAGCAGGTGAAACTCCATTTGTAGTCCACTTTGATTTTTTTTGTGTTGTTTACATCAGATACACTGCTTGGTCTTTGAAGTCAGATGGAAAACAACCTAAATTAGGTAATTAAAAGGAAGCACAAATATGGATAAAAGTTGAAAGCACTCCTGTTGGTAGCACTGAAAACAACTACAAAACCACAGAAAGAAAAGTAAAGACATAATAAGGATGTTAAAGATCTCAGCTACTAAGGATTTATTACAACAGGACTACAGCTGCTCTCTTACTTCATGCTTACCTGCCATAACAGACAGAGGTTCAGTTAAGTTTGGCAGATAGGGGAAGACGGATTTGCAACTGCGAGCCAAAACTCTAATTTCTAAACTCACTTCCTACTTCAAGCTGTCAAAAGAGGGACCAGCAAAATGTAGGATTCATACAGAAGAAAAATTAACACCTCAGATAATGTTCATGACATATGCAACAAGTATTTTAATTCTAAATAGCATTTGATTTATAGTAACTATAGATTAGTACAAGTATTCTTTGCAAATGTCTTGGCTTTGAAAAGAGTTAATTGCTTTTAGAAAAGTCAACACACTCAGACTGCTGATTATTTATTATAGATGGAAAAAAATCAAACGATTTCTATTGCAGGACAGTACCTGGTCGGGCTCCAAATCTAATGCAATTTCCCTAATGGGAAATTTGAGACAAGTTATAAAAGTATGACTAAGAAATTAATTCTACTTAAGTAAAATAGTGTTAAACCCTACTTTTATTGTCACCCTTTATTTCCCAGGTTCTATTTTGTATTCATACTTGCCCAGCATAATGTGTGTCCAGTATCAGCATCCTTACCTCTGAATGATAAATTCCTTTGCAGGATCAAACAAATTACCATGGACTATCCACTCATCCACTGTCTGTAAGTATGGCCTCACAGTTTCAACCCAGAGAGAGAACAGAAGGGATACCTGAATTTAAAGGAAAAAATAAAAATAAAAATAAGGGGAGGAGGGGAAAAATGGCTGAATATTTTTATACTAAGCATTAGAAGCAATATGGCAAATCCCAACCTCTTAATTGTGCAATTGTTGCTTTTAAGATATACATGACTACACTTAACAATTTTTAAAAATAAAATACTAAAACTAAAAATAACAGCTTTAGTAGTTTTAATGTACACCTGAATTGTGCTTGCTTCCCCTTGTTACTTTTGTCATCAGTTAGACCCAAACAGGAGTTTTCATTTTTTTCACTTTAACATCTCTTGAACGAGTAAGGGATAGTCATAAAACACTCTGTGGTTTTAGTACATAGAAAACAGGAAGACAAAAGGACATAATGACATCAATTATATTTTCAGTAGTATAATCTACAAGTTACTGTAAAAACCCAAACCCCTACACTTCAGCATTAACTGAATTATGCAGCTGCAGAAATAGAATGAGGGAAAGCTGTTCCAAAACTCCCTCTTTCTTAACAGTTTCTCAGCCTCTGCCCACAGCTCCTCCCATCAGTCCTAAAAGCACACTGCTGCCGATCTCATCATAAAGCAAATTTTGTCCAGATTGAGTGAACTTATGTGAGAAAACAGTAATATATTACAGCTACCAAATATGTCCTCAGTCCTTGGTAAAGAAATTTAGTTAAAAGAAAGAAATTTAAGTTACTGAATTTTCTAGTGTGCGGTTCTACTAAGGAAGGAATGATCTTCCCTACCGTTTGCTCAGATGCTTCTCCAACACTGTCATATTCAAGAATAGCTTTGTAGAGAGTATTAAGCAGATGAGATGCTCGTACAACATTTCTAGTGTCAGGTGGCACTTCTGCTACTCCTGTGCTGAAAACCTTGTGAAGTACTTTCAGCTGTGCCAGTCGGGGAGACAATTTATCTATTACTATTGAAAGTGTGACAGTTTTATCTGGAAAAAATAAACCAAAGCTGTATAAAAGTAACATCCATCACAAAATAATTTTTTTTTTAATGTTATTAATGAGGTTTTAAAATACAGTATGGCATCTTTCACAGTTTCAAAATGTATCTGCATAATGATTTTCATGTTTCCCTTGTATAAAAATTTCCTGTGTGCCTCCCTGTAGGAAAAATCCCCTTGCACTGTACCTTTGTTGATAATGCATTTTTCAATTTCAGTAAGTTCTTCTTTAAAGCTAATGAAATATTTATACAAGGCCCACATAAAAGCTTGGTAGGTTCTGAACGGGGCTTCGGTGGTTTTCTTTGGAGTTGAAACTGTTCCATGCATTATGCTTTCTGGGCTGTGTCCCATTACTTCATCAATAAACTTCTGTAGTCTAAACACAACTTGACCATATGCCGCTATCTGCTCCAATACAGACCTCAGGCAATTCTAGAAAAGAAAAAAACCCAACCTTTTTAGAACCATCTAATAAAAATTTGTGTTTTACAAAGCCTAAAAATGAAATAATGAGATATTTTTATGAATTAAAATATAATAAAGTCCTGCCATCTCTATTGCTTCATCATACTCTCAGATACAGGAACAGCCCATCCAGTTTTATTAAGTCAGATGTTCTTAATTTAGCCAAAACACAATTGTGGGAATGTGATTTTTCTGCAGGCAGTTTGATTTTTCCACAGGCAGTTTAATTTCCTATTCCCCCACAAATTACATCTTCCTAATGCCAGATATATTCAGCTGAGATTCAGAAACAACTTACATGGGTTAAATGCGTAACAATAATATCATTCCGCACAGTCACTTTTCCATCATTCAGCTGAAATATAAAAAGCTTTTTCACTCCTGAAAGTAGCCTTGAAAAGAAACAATAAAATAAAGAATTAGCTTTCCTTGAGTAAAAGTTTCTTTTCTTCAAATAATGGGACCACAGATCAACTACAACGCTACTGGTACTGTAAGTTGTTGCTAGAACAAGAACAATAAAGCACTGGCATCGAGTAAGTATCTCCTAAAGTTCCTTTCCCGTTCAGATAATTTCCAGCTATGGGATGTCTGAAACGTACTTTCTAAAATTGGACACTGGGTGAAAAATCCATAGGGGCAGGGTAAGAACACACTGGCTCCCTTTAACACTCAGACTTGAAGAATCGATGTATACAAGTAATAGTAAGCTACTTTGTTCTTTGAGAATATGAATGGTTAACATACTTAGGCAGCATCTTTATTGTCAGCAATGGTGCAAGCTAAAAACTCAGTAATAATTCAGACACAACCTCAAAGATAAATCTCATTTCCTTGAGAGAAACACTACAAGCTAAAATACAAGCTTTGGGATGTTGCTCTTACCAAAGAGTTTCCCGTATAACCTGAGTTTCAGTGACTAGTGTTCTCTCTTCTGGCACATATAAAGGATTACTGGTGTACAAGTGGTGGTCCCTTAGAAAAAAGGAAATGAAACCAATTTAATGGCTGAAGTAACAGCTGAATCACCTCCAAGTAAGAACGAAGCAATAATCTTAAGACTCAGTTTAGTTCTCATTATATCTGAGTAGATTCAATGCTCATGGTGGAATTTTAAGTACATAAACAAAAGCAGAGTTTATTTTTGCATTGATAAGCAAAATACTATGGAAAGCATTCAAATATCATTTAATCATAGACAGCAACACAAGCAATTGACTAGCAAATACCAGAAGTACTGAATATGTGTTGGTTTGGGTTTTGTGGGTTCCAGTTTTGTTCGTTTGAGGTCTTTTTTGACTCTTGATCCTTGGTTATTTTATTATTTCTCATTCAACACTGTGAAAATTTATAGTCACTTTCTGTTACAAATACTAAGTTAAAAAGTATCTGCATATGAAAATTCACACTTTAGCCCAAAAGTTTACTTAAGAAATGGAAACTTTCACACCAATCTAAGAACTTTCTCTTATGACCTCGTGTTACATGATTCTTCGTAAACCTTCCATAGTATTTTTCATATTTCAGTGAAATACAGACGATTATTCACATGTGTAGCATTGTGACTCACTAGTTTCATCAGTGGCAAAATCTATGTTATCACATTCAAAATTCAAAAATCGAAATTAGGTAATACTGGTTATATATCATACATACACATATATATTTTTATATATATATAAAAACATACATCTTCTAACAACATTGAAAAAGCAGTGCAAAAGTGCTGATTTATGTTACTGATCTCCTAATATTTACTGCAGATTTTGCTTCATAACTGGCTAGATAAATTTACTTTAGCGTCAGTTGGTTAACTCCTTGATTAAGAAATTCATTAAATTAAGGAAGCAAAGACAGATCTAATGATATGCATTACTGCAGTACTGACACATCAGAACTTAGGACAGAGGGGAAAAATCAGGGTGAGGGTTTTGTTGGTTTTGGTTCTGTTCTTTGTTTTAATTGAACTTCTTTCTCATTTTCTTTCCAAAAACCACAGAAGATCACAATGATATAGTGCTTTATGCTCCTTCCCCACACAAAATGCGCATTAAAGACTAACTTTGTAAGGGAGGCAAGAAAAGCAAACAAAAATTTAAACTTTAAAGAACTCCTCACTTCCAGGACCACTTACAACTCACCTATATTAGCCCTCAGAGATCTTTGTAAGGGTCAATCCAAATTCAACAGTAAGATCTGCTGTTTTGAAAAGGAAAACCCTCTCTCTTATGTGACAAACTTAATAAAAACTGAATAATCTGTCAATAGAAAAAACAGCTTGTTTGTTCATCTCATTAATTCATATCCTTTCAATTCTGTTTTTAACTATACCTGTAATAACTACATTACCTTTACGCTTCCACAGTAATGACATTTAATAAAGTCATAATTCAGTATTATATACCAGTAAGGACTATGTAAGCAATACTTTTTTCTTACCAGACTGCAGCTAGGTTGGAATGCAAGTGCAAACTATGTGAAAAGCGAGGAGCTCTTCCTGTCCAGTACTGAGGAACAACATGCTGCTCCAGCCAGCTGCGGGCATCAGGTTCACCGACTGTGAAAACACCTGACAGTCACTGAGGTATTTTTATTTATTCAGGAAATGCTTATAAACACTTACAAAACACACGAAAATGTTATTAATAAGCCTATCTGCTCAGCTGCAGAATCGCAGATCTTTTCAGATAAGTTACAATTTACAACTATTAAACTGCTTAGTACATTACCTAAAAGTGTTTATTTCTTAAACGTGATTATCAAGAAAACTTTACCTAATCCCAGTTAGCTAGTTACTGCTTAGGTAACATACAAATATTATGCAATCATCTTATATAAGGCATCCTGTGTCCTACAACATTCTGTGCAAAAATACTCCCTGAAGTTAATACTCCCTGAAGCTATTCAAGAGTAAGCTACTAGTGATTTAATTACATAATTTTATTTTTCAAAAACACTGCATACTCAGAACTGAGTCTACCATTTCTGCTGTCAACCAAATGCTGTTTAAGCATTCTGATACTTAATAATAAAAATTTATATTACATCCATAGAACTACATGATACATTTATTGTAGAAATTTTCATTTCTATATTGGAAATAAGCAGAGTCTTCTCCATTAGCAACAACAGAAATCAGGTAAAACCTTCCATATTGCTTCTTTACTGTTAAAAATAATAATTAAAAAAAAAAGCAGTAGTGAATAGTGAAGTGCACCTTAACACTACAACTATAGGTCTAAACCACAACACTAAAGAATAATAAAGCTGTATTACTTGCTAAATTTGAGTATGCATGACTATAAAAGAAGAATTATAGTTTATTCTAACCTTTCCAGGAAACATTAGGTACTGTTTTCTTATTTGGGTCGTGGTCTTCTAAAGGTGTCCTGTCTACTTGAATACCCGAGTCCTCCCTGCTCAAAGGCTGAGTGTCATCCTCCTCTTCACTTTCTCCAGACCAATCCTATTGAGTGCAACAAAACCCAGTACACTTTAGTACAACATAGCAGACAGGTCTATATTTACTTCCTATTCAAGCCAAACAAACTATTCTCTTCTTTCTTCACCTATAAAGTAAATTCAGGGCAGTAAGACTAACATAACTGTCGACCAGAGACAGATTTAAATTATACGTAACATTAATAACTGGACAAATGAGACAACTAGAGAAGATCACAGAACTACAGCAAGTTCTGATTAGGAGCAGGCAGGGTCAGCAGAAGTTAGCTTAGTTCAAGGACTAAGTCAAAACATGGTGCAAACCAAAAGCATTTGTATTACTACTACTCTGCATGTATTTCATGGTATCAAGTAAGACACAACATATTAGGAAATCCTAGGAGAAATGGCATGCAGAGCATACAAACTAGGACAACTCAACCAGGTCTCTAACATACCTCAAACCATTTATACAGTTTGTCTTTTTTATCTTAAGAAATTACTTACTGGTGTATCTATGCCTGGACCAAAGTAAATTTCTTCCCCTTCCATCAGATACTTTCCCCAATCGAATTTTTCTTCCTTTTCTAAGAGAAGTATAAATATAAAAATAGTAGGTATCATGTCACTCCAACTTTCTTTTCCTCTAAAAATATTTCCAAAGTTAAAATTACATTGTTACTCTAAATCTAAACCAAAAGGCATTCCTTTCCTCTTAAGGTTACACCACTGTTCTTTTAACAACGATACACACTTTGAACATGACATGGAAATTGTGACGTATCATGTATATTCCTTATTTATTAATTCTCAATTTTGTTGCTTATACACTCAAAATATGCAACACAGCACACCATAACCACATTTATCTGTACTGTGTTACACTACGCTGTGCTTCAATCCTGGAAAAACGTGCAAGAATGCAACATATCACTTATTGTGACTAGTCCCATTTAGCTCAGTGAAAACACTATATGTACAATTTACATATGCACAAGGATCCTGGACTGTAAACAACATAAAGCAAGAACTGTCTTACTCTCCAAAAAAGACACCATATATTCATGATGTGATGTATAATACTTTCAAAATAACAATCACACTTACAATATATTATATCTAAAACATGAAGCTTACTCAACTGTAATTAGTGCTGTTTGAGATAACCTCTTCATATTCACATTCCTGGAATGGGCTGAAAGTGCATTCAAAACACCGCCGAGGGAATGTGCAGAGATCATTCAAAAAGGAATCTTAAGATGCAAGATTTTCTTTAGGTTAGTCTGAAATATTCTTCTTTCAGTCTACGATACAACACTATAAACAAATGGGGGATGGCATCCACTCAAACTTAAGCACAAGCTTCATTTTTAGGCACTGAGCGCAACAGTCCTACTTTAGAAAGCAGGCAGCTGGGATCTCCCTCTAGAAACCTTCAAAGGTATCTCATTTTCCTTGAGTACATTTGGAACATAGGAATTTACATCACCAAAGCTGTTTCAACAGACCTCCTATTGAGGTGCAGGACAGAGACTGAGGACAGAACCCCGCTGTCTGAGCATGTAAGCACTGCTGAACAGGTGGAGAATGCTAGGAAGTGGTAGCGGTGCATGTCAAAAAGAATACCCAAGGTACATTGGTAGCTGGAAAACTTAATTAAGTGATGCAACATAAATGGGATAGGAAAGATGTGCTGGCTATTTTAAATGAATAAATCATAAAAAGACAATCAATAAAGCTCCTTGAAGTAAAGAACAGAATAAAATGGAGAGGAAAAAATGTCCTCCTTATCAGATTGCATTAATGGATTGTATGTTTCATTAGCAATATCAAAATCTTGTAAACTTACCCACTTCTTTGACTTTTGGTTTTTCGACATAGGTGGTGTTGGATGGAGAATCAGACAAACATAACAGAAGAGATAGTATGGAATAGTGTGTATCTGTCTTTAAAACACATTAAAAGAAAAGCAAGTCAGTGGTCTAAAAGATGTAGGTTAGGAACAAACTCAGCCTATCATCTGCAGAAATGCTCCCCATTTGTTCCCATTTCCCATTCCTGAATTACAGAACTAACAGGCGCAAGATGACATTGAAAGCCACCTTTTCTCTTTTGCCTACTACACAGGCAATCAATATACTTCAAAAGTAGCCAAGGATAAGCTGCCTTTTACTGAGTTGATAGTCAGAGAATATGAAAAAGAGATAACAGGAACCCTGAGGTACTGTGAAAGTACAAAACCACCAGGGGACCAGGGATAACGGACAGCTACATTAGCATGGATGAGGTGCAAGGACACAGGTAATGAGACTGCAGGAAACCAAGTCTTTGATTCCTTTATTCATATGGCTGAGTATTTCAAACAGAGGCTAGAAGGGAGTTGGCTAAACACTTTGATAAAATCACTGCGTTTTAATACCATGCTCACATTATCTCCCATCATCTGAAAATCTACACAAAGCACTAAGAATGAAAGTTTAACTCCAGTATTGCACTAATGTGGCTGTGAAACAGAGGCCTTCAATCAGGTTGGAATACTGTGCCAACACTGGTATACTGCAGAGATGTGTGTTACGTTCTATTCCTTAATAACAGCTTATAGCACAACCATTTCTTACTATAGAAAGGCTTTTCTTTGGCCTGATTCTAATTTTCCAAAGTTCTTCAGCAGATCTTTCCACATCTAGGCACACGGAGACTCTGCTACCTAGATCCTATATATTTGGACACATATATACACACACTTACAAAGCTGTTTTGGAATGCAATCCACTTGGACTTTAAAGAAAAAAATAACTGAAATATCTCAAAGTAGCATCATACTCATCTAGTATATATGGAGTATAATATGTTCCTACTAAACATTACTGACTCTACAAGAGTTTTTCAAAAAGTAGGTCACTGATGGAATCACATGCATGAGCTGGTATTTCATTTACCAATCATAAAACCAATAAATGTTCAGTCTTCCCAGTACCATGTCAGTGCTAAAAACTAAATGCCATTTAATTGCCCAAATATGAGATACTATCTACCCTCAGTTGCGTTTTCAAAAAGGGGGAAAAAAAGGCAGCATGGAAGTATTAGTGCTTGCTTGGGCTTTTGGTTTGGTTTGTTTGGCTTTAATTTTATTCGATTCTCAAAACAAGCACAACTAAAGGTACTTTTTCAAACATCTGCAGCGTACAGTGTATTAACTGAAAATGTGTGTAAGCTATTGAGGGTTCTGGGGTTTTCCATACAAATTAGAGGGAACTTAAAAGAGTTCAAAGAAAGGTAAATGTCAGTTCAATGAGAAGTAAAATCAAACTACAACTCAGAACACACAGCCTTATGAAAGAATATCGCTATACAGAACACCACGAAGCTTAAATTTCCCAATAGCAGGAACTTTCAGTTTTCAAAGATCAAAGTCATTATTAAACTACTGCAATGGAAAGTGTCGAAGTGAGACAACTTTTGCTATATCCATCCAGTCCATATCCTAAATGGATTTGATACAAAATGTATCAAATGTGAAACATATGCATAGACTCAACAAAGAAGATACAGGGCAGGAGCATTCCATATGGAAATACTAAAATCAAAACATACAGATGTATTACTTAAATAAATACGGGCAGAGTTAAGAACTGCTCAGTTTGCTGCTGTTTTACAACACATGGGGATATAGATTCATTCAGATTTGAGCTACAACATTTGTACAAAGTTGACCATAAATTATCCACTCTACAATGAGAAGACATCCTTTAAGTCATGAAACTTCATGTACTGAAACCCTGAAAGGACAACGGACATTTTCTAACATAAATGGGCAAACTAAAAAATACAACCCTGATAATCCATGGCCTGACCTGCAACTGCAACTATCTTTCATTCACTTAAAGTAATCTGAAATTTCCAACGCAATACGAGAACTGAAATCCCCATCATCACCATGAACGCGAAAGTTCTGGGAAAAAAGAACAAGGAAATTGCAAGACACATACCTTTGTTTCTTCAATACTTGGGAGTGGCAAGTTCAGAAATTTTTCTGTTAGTCTTTTCCAGCTTGCAGCTTTTCCAAGGTCAGAATGAACTATCAATTTTTCATGTATTCTAATAACAAAAATAGAATCAAAAAAGCTTCAAAAAAGTTAACTAATGCATTATTAATGCACAAAGAAAAAACTTACCCTTCTATCGTCCTCTCTACTTTGTGACTGTTCACATCAAGAAAACGGTGAAATCTGTGTAAGAAACTTGTATCAGAATATGTTTAAAAAGGAAGCTAAAGTAAGGAAGAAAATAAAGCTGATTTACATATATGAAGACAGCATTATTAGTTTAATAATGTATACTTAATTTAGCAACAGCATTAAGCATCAGCAAAGTTTATCTCGGTGTCTCTTAGCCCAAGAAAGATTAACTACAACTGATCTTAAAGATGGAAAAATGGAATGCAAGTTACAGTTAAGCAGTACTTTAAGCTAAATGGAAAATTACTACTATATCAGCAAACTAAGCAATTAAAGTACACTGTCAGTCAAGTCAAGTGGAGCAAAGAGATCAAGAACCATGCTGTCAAAGGTGTCTGTGTCGAATGCACTGAAATTATCTGGGAATTGCATTACAAACACAGGCAAAACAAACACCCACATGGGAAGGCCTCTAAACCCTAACGAAGCTTCTGTATAAATAGTAAAGGAGGGTATCCTAAAACAAAAGAGAGCTCAAAATAAAGCTTATAAAAATACAGATATACCACCAAAGGTAGCATGTAGAAGGGACAAAATAAGAACTCAAGAGAGGTTAGATGGACTTTTCATAATAAATTAGAATATAAGTATTCTTATAAGAATATTAGAATAAGGTTCTTCAGTTATATATAGAGAAAAAAAAACAGAAACAGAACATGACAGCAGTGAGCACAAGGTCAAAATACTCTATTTGTGGGCCCTCAAAGCCATCTTTGCCTCAGCTTCCAGCAAAAAGTGTACAGAATACAGCAGTACAACTCATGACCACAAGCAGAAATGAACACTACCAGGTCTGAATAAGAGCCAAAAGTTAAACAGACTGAATTTGGAAAGACAATAAAAAATCACCTCAATGTCAAAGTAATGAACTTGAAAATGAAACTGTAAGGTGGGTAGCAAGGATTTTAAATAAATATCACTGGAGGATGAAGATGTGCCCATATTAAAGAAAAACTTACTTTGTTAACTACAGACCTATTAGTCTGATTTAAGCTGTGTGTAAGGCTTTGGAATAAAAGCATGACGAAATGCAGTATTAAGTAGGTAGCTAACATTTAGTTTAAGATAATATAGCTTATCTCATTCATTATAGCACATCAGCTTACATAGAAACCTGTAGTTCAAACGGAAAATGGTGATAAGTACAAGAACTGGAAAATTAGTAACAACACCCTGGAAAGACAACAGTAAAAAACCAAACCAAGAATGTGCATTGAAACAAGCTGAAGGGAACCTATTACCGAAATTCCTTTAGTCTATTACTTAAAGCTTTAATTAATGGCCCTTGTGCATGCACACACACAAAAAGTATCCATTTTTTTAGGCAAGTTGAGAACATTATGAATAAGAGGACTAGTGTGTTGCATGTAAAGAAATGGATGAATCTGAGAACTACAGCATAGAAACACCATAAATATAAGAATACAAACCACAGATTTCACAAACTTGAAACTAAAGAGAATTTCTGCTAAAACCTAAGGTCTTTCAGTTTGGAAATATTAGTGTCAGGCTGATCTTTCAGGAACACCTCTTAGACAAAAATTCTGGCATTAAACCCTTCCTCTCCCAACGTTCTGTATCAAAACCGTTTGTTGCCAACTCTGCATCACCCTCTCTTTTTTCCTACCCAGTTGTTTTCTTTTTTTTTAAACAAACACCACACACAAAAAGTCTCCAATCTAAAAGAGCACATACCTACACAAGCAACTGGGACACTGAAATAGAGGGCGAGATGTCACAACAGACAGGGCTCATTTACCTAGCACAAGAAACCCTGCTACCGTTTATCAATCTGCAGAGCCAGAATAACAACTGCTACAAGCACCTATTTTGATGGAGCTACAAAACCAGTAAATGCAATCCTATAATACATTCAACAAAATATTTCTGGTAAAGAACACATAGAGACAGCAGTTACAAACACCACATTCCTACATTCCCAATGGACACAACTAATTCAGCAGTGTCAAACTTGTCAAAACACCTACAGGTCAAATCCAGCTCTCCCACACCTCAGACTCACCTTTGCTGTTGCCCAGTGACTATTTGGTTATTAAAATAGTCTTACTTGAGCCTATTAGTAGTTAAGATTCACAGGCTGACCTGACACAATGCAGTTAGGCTACTGCTAACCCCCAAAATGGATTTAAACAGCATTAAAAAAAATGTAGGTAGCATGGATTTTATGCAGATTAGGTAAGTGCTCCATAAAGATAAGCAAATACATAAGACTCCAAAGAGGTAGCACTTAGGGATAATATGGGAAACTGGAAATAACTCATGTGAAAACTGGCAGTAGCCACTGAAACAGTAACTATGATAACTCAAAAAGCAGCGCGTGAAACTTTAGTATGGACATTTTAGATGGCAACGTAATAGAATTAAAGGAATACAGATAATTCATATTACAGGTCAATAAAGACCATGTTTATGACCATGTTATTTGAGAAGCTCAAATAACATCAAACACATTATCTTCTCTGCACTGATAATCTTTCTTATAAGCAGCACAATATTCTTGGCCAAAAGCTTTGTACCTATTTCATAGAACCACATACCCTTGCACATGCCCTGCTAGAAGGTCTCCTCAGAGCCTTCTCTTCTCCAGGCTTAACAAGCCCAGCTCTCTCAGCCTGTCTTCATAGGACAGGTGCTCTAGCCCTCTGGTTATCTTTGTGGCCAACATGTCCATGTGCTTCTTATGTTGTGGGCCCCAGAGCTAACACAGCATTTAGTAAATGAGTCTGCTCTTCATAAAGTGATTATTTCTTTACTTCCCTCCAACAAACAACATTTTGGATGGCTAAATGAAGATGTTGAAAGGTATTTTCTTATGGATCAGGCGAAAAGCCCTAGAAGACTGTGATTTAAACAGGGTAACAAACAATATTCCTCTGACAGGGACTCGCAAATTGCCCCCACTCTCACCCCAGACGCTGTGCCCGGCGGGTACGGCACCCCAGGGCCCTGTGCCACCCCTCAGCAGCCGCAGGGCCCCTCTCCTTCCCAGGTGAGCAAGTGACAGCGCCGCCCGGTCACACCACACCGCAATGCCCCGGCAACGAGGAAGGGGCCCTGTCCGGCGGCGGAGGCCTAGCCCGCCGGGGGCTCCTT